AGGAATAAAAAGAAAGAAAGAAAACAGAAAGGGATAGAAACGAGAGAGGAGAGGAAGGAGCAAGGGGAACGGAAAGGAAAGAATGAAGGCCTGGAAAGAAGGGAAGGAAAAGATGAAGAGAGAGAAGTAACTCCCATGGACTCCTGGAGTTACCCAGCTTTGTCTTCTGGGTGGGGGCAGCTGGGGTCCCACAAGCAAAACCCTTGATGTGCTGCTATCTTGTGTAATGAGTGTTAATATTGCATTCTTATGAGTGATCAAAATTTTAGAATGTTAATCCCTCATAGACACAGTTTTAGATCTTTTATCTCTCCATCTGTCAGCAAAAGAACTGGCAAGGGTAGTGGTGAGTCATATGATGATAATTTCTTCTAGCCTGTGTCATTTCCCTGGCAATGTGAATATCACAGACATTCTGTCTGCTTGGGCAAAAGTTTCTCTTTATGGCCTTTTATTATTATTTTTAGTAAACATTACATACCCAGAATGAGTTCTTAGGAAGAACTGAGGATTAACTAAGATTGGCTTCATCTATCCTGGGTCCTGTCAAACGTGGATTTATCCTCCTCATAAAATAACATGGAAAAGAAGAATGATAGGTTGGTCACCATGGATCTCACCAATGTAAAATTTATTGTGGCCAGGCACGGCAGCTCACACCTGTAATCCCAGCACTTTGGAAGGCTGAGGAGGGTGGATCACCTGAGGTCAGGAGTTCGAGACCAGTAATCCCAGCACTTTGGAAGGCTGAGGCGGGTGGATCACCTGAGGTCAGGAGTTCGAGACCAGTAACCCCAGCTACTCAGGAGGCTGAGGCAGGAGAATAGCTTGAACCCAGGAGGTGGAGGTTGCAGTGAGCCGAGATCATGCCACTGCACTCCAGCCTGGATGACAAAGTGAGACTCTGTCTCAAAATAAATAAATAAATAAATAAAATTTATTGTTAGTACCACCAAGCGGGTACCCATGGCTTTTTTGGGTTCACAGATTCTTCAGACATTTACCAGCTACCACCAAGATAATACCTGCTGGTATCACTGACATGGGCAGCACAGAGGAGCAAGGCCAGCTAAGGTTATACATAACGACGAGGGTTAAGTCTGAAAACAATACTCCCATAGTTGAGTTTGCAAAACCTTTTCCCGTCACCGTAACAATGACTTTGTCCTGATTCCTGAGGTATTTATCCTTAAGAACTTTAGCCACAACTTCTTCTTGTTATGCTTTGTATCTTGTGATATGTAGCACTGGGAAGTATTCAGATGGATCCAGGGACTCCTGGTATGTTTTCCAAAAGGCATCCTACATGCCCTCTTCGGGTTTGCTATCTGTCTATAAGTTAAGTGGCCTCATTGTATAAAATCCAATGCCTCTAATGGGGGTCAGGCGGAGTCGTTAAGAGTGTTGACTCTGGAGCCAGACTGCCTGGTCTGCAGAGCAGCTCTGTTACTTACTAGTGGTGTGAATAGGCTAGTTACTTCAACAATATGTACCTCAGTTTCCTCATCTGTAAAATAATAATAATATTAGTGTTGTTAAATGAGACAAGACATTTGGAACTCATTAGGGTGCTTAATATATCACAAATGCTCCATAAATGATAGTGATATTATTACCATGTTATCATGCAACCTATTTCTTGTAACTTTTTTTTAAATCACTTTCAGACATTAAAGCAACCCGAATTTTTTTTTTAAGGGGGAGTTTTGCTCTCGTCAGCTTTAAGGCTGAAGTGCAGTGGCATGATTTTGGCTCACTGCAACCTCCACCTCCTGGGTTCAAGCGATTCTCCTGCCTCATCCTCCCGAGTAGCCATTACAGGTGGCTAATTTTTTGTATTTTCAGTACAGACAGGGTTTTGCTATATTGGCCAGGCTGGTCTCGAACTCTTGACCTCAGGTGATCTGCCTGCCCAAAAAGCAATCCAAATCTTAATGTCGTCCTATTACGGTTAGTGCTATTTGATAATAAGGAATTCTTGCCTGGCTCAAAGCCACAAAAATATTTTCATATGCTATCATCTGGAAGCTTTGTTCTTTTACCTTTCACATTTACATCTATAACGCACCAAGAATTATTTATGTGCACAGCATGAAGAGGGGCTGATTTTCATTTTTCCAGTTGACTCTCCAACTGGCCCAGCATTATTGCCTTTACTCATCATTCTGCGCTGCCAACTTTGTCATAAGTCAAGCGTGTGTGCCCATGGGAGTCTGTTTCTGTTCTCTAGTCTTTCCTTTGGTCCATTTGTCTATATTTACCCCAAATACTGTTTTAATTGTTGTACTTTTACACTTAGTCTTGAAGTTGGATGGAAAATTCCTACTACTTGGTTCTTCTTTAAGATCGTCTTGGCTATACTAGGTCATTTGCAATGCCATATACATTTCTAAATCCACTTGTCAGTTTTCTTTTTTTAAAACCCTTCTGGGATTCTGATTGGGATTGTTTTGACTCTGTAGATCATTTTGGGGAGAACTGACTTTTTATAATACAAAGTCTTCCAATTATTGTTTATTTAGGACTTTTAAATTTTGTTTCAATACTGCTTGACGGCTTTTTCTGTAGTGGTTTCGCACCTCTTGCATTAGATTTACTCCCAGGCATTTGAATTTTTAAGGCTATTGTTTGTAATTGTTGCTGGTGAATAAAAATACAATTTGCTTATGGACTAAAAAAGACAGCACTTCAGAGTGTAAAGGTGAGCCATAGACTGGAGATACTGGCAGCGCTTTTATCTAGAAAGCATAAAGAGCTCCTGCTAGAGAGAAAAAAACACAGTTGAAAAAATGGGGAAGAGTCCTGAGGTGATTCTTCACCAGAAAGGATGTTGGGGTGGCTAACAGCTACGTGAAAATTGCTCGACATCCTAAATTCTCAGATAAATGCAAATCAAAATCACACAGTAAGATTTCCCTGCACATCCATCAGAAAGGTAAATTTAAAAAGAATTTCAATACTAAGTGTTGGCAAGAACGTGGAGTAACAGTGTAAACTGGCATGATTTTTATTTTGTGCTTTCTTTTTTTACAGCATTTATTTATAGCAGCCTTTATTCTGTCCATGCAGAGGGGAAGGGTTGGTGAGGCAGAAGGGGTACAGAGAACCCCACAGAGGAGGAGCATGCTCTGGCGGAAAGAGCATCCGGAGGCCGGGGGGTGGGGACACTGGGGCACAGACGGCAGGCTGTGGGGATTGGCGAGGGGCTGGCTTGGTTCTCAGAGATCACGGAGGCGGAAGCCCGCCCCTGCAGAGTGGACCAGCCCCCGGAGCCCCAAAGGCGGGTCTACCCCACGCCGGGCCGCTTGTGGCGGTGGTCCCGGCTCCACCTCGGGTCTGTCCCGTCCCCATGCCTCGGGGGGTAAGCCAGAGGCGAGCCCCTACTCCCCTCGGTGGCGAAGGTACTGTGCAATTCATCAGGTTTACATTAAAAATAATACAAATAACAATACAGAATTTAAAAAGCCTGTCTCCCATAAGCCCGAGACCAGCCCGCCCGGCGCCCCGCGTGAGAAGCAGAGGCGCGGGTCGCCTCCCGGAGCGGAGCGGGAGTGAGGGCCTGGTTGGAGCCGCAGGCTGGCGCGAGGGTGCCCGGGCTGCTCTCGACCGCGGGTCTGAGACTGCCGCCGGCGGGACGGGCCGGTGTGGGGGTGCCGGGGACGCCGGCGGGCCGGGGCTGCCCGCCGATCCCGCCGCTCTGCGCCGCCTGGATCGCGCTGTTTCGGAAGAGGCCTCGGGCGGCAGGAGAAGCGGGCAGGCTGGCGCTAGCGCTTGGTCTTCTCCGACCTTCCAGGTCGCCGGGTGCAGCAGGCGTGTCGCCCCCGCGGGAGCTGTGCGGTCCGCGTGGCTTTGAGTATTGACCCGAGGTGGTTCGCCTTGAGCCTCCGCAGGGAGCACGTGCAGCAGCGGCGCAGGCGCGGGGGAGAGCGCGGACGCGCCCACCACGGTGCAGCGGCCCCTTCGAGGCCACAGGTCGCTCTCCAGGCGGTGCCGGCGACGATGGAGTCGGCGCCGCGCCGAGCACGCTCGGCAGGGCGGCTTGGGCAGCCCGCGGCTGACGCTCGTGCAGGCGAGATCGACCTCTGCCCCCGAAGGCCCTCGGGCTGATCGTGGCTGTGCGTGGTGCAGGGTGCCCGGCAGTCCAGGGCGTGGGTCGGGGGGATATCCCCAGAGCTTTCGCAAACGTCCTCTCGAGGCCTTTGAGGCGCCCCCCACCATCTGGCACGTGAGTTCAGCGACCTGATGGCGCCATGTAACCCGGGTCTCCAGCCGCCCTCAGTGGCACTACTTCTCTTTGCGGACACAGCACCCGGGGAGGACACGCGGGACTCGGTGCTGCCGGACAGCAGTCCTGCAGGAGGAGCCCTTAGGCCTCTCCTCGGAGTGAAGGTGGCAGAGCGGCAGGTGCGTGGCGGGGAGCGTTTTCCCCGAGCTGGTCCTGGGTTAGCAGGAGCTCCTCACGGCTGCACAGGGCGGCTCCGTTCAGGTTCCCCACCCGGGGCTGCTCCGGCGGCTGCCAACCTGCCCACCGACACCGCCTCCTGGGACGCAGGCCCCTGAGCTCCGGCCAGCTGTCTGCGGCAGTTCAGGTAGAGGTTCTCGCCAGTGCTGCGGTCTCAGGTCCCCGTTTCTTCCTCCAGCGCCTTCTCCACGGTTGGAAGCGCAGGACGCGAGACACTTCTGGATGAAAAGGTTGAGATGGCGCTGGCGGATGATGGTGGCGACTTTTGCCCCTAACTCCTCAGGGATAATGGGTCTCTTTACACTTTGTAAGGATGGACTGGGCGAGTCGCTTCGCGGTGACCGTCGTGGTGCTGGTCTTGGACGCCACCCCAGACGACCTACGTGTCTCAAGCAGCTGGCTGAGGGGCTTGGAGCCGTTGGAGGCTGGCTGCCGCTAGCCACGAGGGTCTTCTTGGCACCTGTAGGGGCTGCAGCCAAGCGGGGTTTGGGGATGTGGGCGATCCTCTTGTAGGGAGGACGACGTCTCTGCCAGGCTGGAGACGGCCTGCTGCCTGCTCACCAACTTCCTCTGTGCCTTTTGGGCCCTCTTGTAGCCTCCTCCTGAGCTGTCTTGCCCGCCGGGGCACCACGAGACTCCTCCTCCAGGGCTCTGCCTCCTGGCCTTGCTTGGAAAGGTGAGATCATCCTCTTCTGAACGGAGTGAGGAGACCCGAAGGCTTCTTCCTTGGGTGGCTGAGGGCCAGCCGGCCTTTGTCTTCCATGTTGAGGCTGGTGGATCTGTTGAAGATCCACAGGTATTCCTCCAAGGGGTGGGAGTGAAGTACACCTCTTCCTCTAGGGCAGAGTAATCCACATCCTGCCCCCGCTGGAGGAGTTGGAGGAGGAGTGGGGGGAGGAGGAGAAAGGGGAGGGGGAGGTGGAGGAAGGAGAAGGGGAGAAGGGGGAGGAAGAGGAGGAGAAGGAGGAGAGGAGGGGGAGGAAGGGGAAGGGAAGAGGGGAGGAGGGGAAGGGAAGAGGGGAGGAGGGGAAGGGGAGGAGAGGAGGAGGAAGAAGGATATAGGCTAAGGAGGTGGGTGGGGAGTCCTTGAGCCACCTGGGCTACCTCTGAGCCTCCCCAAGCCCAGGCTAAAGACAAAGTCTGAGTCCCATCTGAGGCTGGGAGGGCTGGGGGCCACACCCTCAGCGCCACCAATTCTGGGACCTCCTCCTCTCTCTCTTCTGCAAAGGGGTCAGGGTGGTTCAGGGCCTGCTTCTTCAGCTTGGGGCTTCCTGGGAGGCATCCAGCAGGCCTTCCACTCCACCGGCTTCCCCACAGGAGCCTTCGTGCCCTTCCTGGCTAGGAGAGATAGAAGAGCAGATGGACCTCTGGCAGGTCAGGCCTCCCCTTCCCAAGTGGGTGAAGATGGCTTTTTCTTGGTCTCTTCCCCACACTCTGCCTTGCTGCGGGGGCTGCTGGCCTGCAGGCCCTTCTTGTCCACACCAGGCATCTCCCAGGGCCGCCCTCTGCCCTTGTCCTTGGTCTTGTCCTCCTTCTGGACACTGTCTTTGCGGCTGCGGTTCCGCTTTTCTTCCCCTTGGGTTTCCCCTCTTTCGGGAAGCCCCCATCCTGCCAGAACAAGCCTGGGGAAGTGCACATGACCGTGGACTCCCCAGCGGCCCAATGTCCCCAACGTGCTGCAGGGCTGTGTCCTTGGTCTCCTGCAGGCTGCCCGGCTCGCCTCTAGACCCTCCTTGGAGGAAGGCTGCCTGGCTGCCTGGCTCTCGGGGCTGGCCCTGGCTTTGAGGGTAGGGGGAGGTGGCCATGGCAAGCTCAGCGGCGGCATTGCAGCTGCCAAAGGGGTGTCAGGGCTTCTTGAGAGAAGGGTAGAGGGCTGACTGCTGCAGGAGCTGGGGTGCTCCATGGCCCGCTGAGCCTGGAAGCCTGGCAGGCTGAGGTGCCAGGCCGAGTAGCTTGAGAGCAGCCTGGAGTTGTCCATCACCTAGCTGCCTCTAAGGACGGGGAGGCTCAAGCCCACTGGGGCTGGCTCAAGGCCTTGGGGACCAACTCCAGGGCATCGCGCCCCCTCTGCCTCTGCCTTGACCCCTGTCCAGGGAGGCCAGAGAGTACTTGCTGCCAGCCAAGCAGGGGCTTCCAGGCAGTGGACACTGGGGCTGTAGTCAAAGGCCAGAGGAAGGCATCCTGGACCAGGCCCTCAGTGGCACCTGCGTGCTCCAGACGTCGCCAGCAGCTCCCCTTACTGGGCCGGGCCTACTTCCCGTGATAAAGGAGATAGAAATTATTTAGGTAGATAGTTAGGGTGAAATAGTCCCCGCAAAAAGTTTCTTTTAAACAAAAAAGCAGCTTAGAAATTACTTTCTTTTTAACCACACACATTTTAAATAAATTACTTTTTTCTAACAAAGAGCAGCCTGGAAGATTGGTCTATAACACACAAATAAGCACTCCAGCACAGAGGGGGTAGCTTCCTGAGTAATCACCAAACTCCACATACGTACACTGGGTCCTAGTGAAAACAGTAGGCCTTAATGAGCACATTTCTTTCCCTTTTTTTGGGCACGCTAAGATAGGGAAGCTGAAAGCCTACATGGGTAAGGGCTAGCAGCTTGCTGATAGAAAAGGGGTACCTGGGGGCCAGAGGCTCCATTTTCCTTTTCTCATTACCACTCGTACAGTAAAAAACCAGGCAATACTGCACTGACCCTGTAAAAAAACTCATCTGCATAATAAAAGATGAGGGTGGGGCTGCCAGTTTCTTCTTTGCACTATGCAAATAACACATCTGGTTCAACCAATCTTTCATGCCCCATGTAAATTAGACACCGCCTTCTCAAGCTCATCTATAAAGTCTGCATTTCACTGTGGAAGTGGCAACCCTTTTCTCCAGGACCCCTCTCTGGAGCTCTTTTTCTTTGGCCTATTAAACTTTTGTTCTAAACCTCACTCGAATGTGTCTTTACAGCTGTGATTGAGCAAAAATCCTGAGAGGGAGCTGATCCTGGAATATCCTCAGTGGCCATGAATGCCCTAAAGGCAATCACATGTGTTTTTACAGGACGGAGCTGGAAGGAGATTTAATACACACAGAAGAGGAGATGGCAGAGCCGCCGAGGAAGCAGAGATTGGCCACAAGACAAAGGCTGCTGGCAGCTCCCAGAAGCTCCTGCAGGCGAGGACTCTCTTACAGCCTTCGGACAGCTGTGACCCTGCTTCGACCCTGATTAGGGCCCAGTGATACTGACTTCGCATTTCTGGCCTTCAGAACTGTGAGAAAATAAATTTCCATTGTTTTAAGCAGCTAAGGTTGTAATTTGTTATAGCAGTCATAGGAAACACCATGCAATGGTGTGTAGATAATAAATAAAAATCAACTTAAAATAAATAAAAACTACTCTACACACAGCACAGATGAATCTGAAGACAGTCACCATGAATGAAAGAAGGGAGAGTTGAAAGGGAACTTACCGTATGATTCCAGTGACGCAAGGTTCAAAGTAGTCAAAACTCATCTTTATTATTAGAAGTCAGGATAATGGTCACCTTCCTGGAAGGGGCAGTGACTGGGAGGGGCATGAGGGGTCTCTGGGGCGTTGGTAATGTTCCCCCATTTAGATGCAAGGCTGTGCTCACTGTGATGGCTCATTGGATGGTGATCGTACCATTTATGCATGTTCTCTACGTGTTTCCCTTCAACAAAAATTTATTTTTTAAAAAAAGCCTGAAGGAAATCTGCTGCAGTCATATTGGATTTGTTTTCCCTCCCTGGAGTGGTGTCAGGGCTACCATCTGCTCTTTTATTGTCCTCTGCCCTTGCCTTCTGGGCCTATTCTGGCTTGGATTGTTTCAATCTGGTGCTGGTTGGCGCTTCTCCGTTATGCTGTGTGTATGTAGATGGTGTATGTGTTTTAGGGGGAGGGACAGTGTTCAGCTTCCCCCTGACCTACCCTTTATCACAGAGTATCCCCTCAAAAAGGGGTTTCTGTGTCTCCCTTTAGGCACACAGCAATCCACATCTACAACATCTCTTCAGGGTGGGGCTTGCCCTGTATGGCCCTGTGCCCTCCTCCAGCATCTGCTCTTCGCACAGGGGTGGCCCCTGAGACCTTCCAGGACCTGGGATGGATGAAGAAGCAACTCCCTCCTGCTCTTGGGCACACCCCACAGTGGGCCCTTCTCATCTTGCTGGCCTGGGTTCCTCTGGGGAACTTCCCACCTGCAGAAAGGATTAACCAGGTAGAGAGGCCAGTCCTTCTTCCAGGCACCTACAGTCTCCATAAATGATTCCTCTAGCTGCCCTCTCCTCTCTTGGCTTTGAGTAAGTGGGTGAGAGAAGCACCTCTTTGTTTTCTGTAAAAAGAGAAGAGAGAAGTCTCTCACTACCAAACTGGGCAAAACCACAGGGTAATTCGGTGACTCCCACCGCCACCCTTCCTCATTCCACTCCTACTGGTGAGGCAGGTGGAGGGCTGCTGTTGAGTCTCTTTCTTCAGTCCAAGGCTTTGGGACTGCATTCTTCATCCCCTTTCCAGCTCCCCATCCATCCCACTGAGAGACACCTCCATCTGGCAAAATCCTCCTTTATTTAGCATCCTTCAATTTGTCCATGTGACCTGATTCTTCCTGGATGCTGTACAAGGACCCAGGTGTCAAGAGGGCACTGATCTGGTTAACACATAAGCCACCTGTGGATGGCAGAGCTGATATAACACTGTAACATGCCCATTGGAACTTTGTGAGTTGCAGGTACCCACCCTTAGGCGCTGTGGGGCTGGAGCCCAAAAGTGCTCACCCTGGCTCCTGCACCTGCCCATCTGTAGGCTCCCTGTCCTGTAAGGGGTTTGAGACTGTGGTGGCCTAACCGACGAGCCACACCCCTATTGCAGGTCCTGTGAGGGGGGTCAGGGAACTCTCCTGTTTCATATTCACCTGGTAATTGGAGTAGTCACTTGTGCTTGCTACTTGCCTTTATCCAAAAGAAAATAAAAATGTGGAGCCAGGTGCCTGTTGAAGTTGGACTCCTACCGTCCCCTGGAATCTGGGGATAGGGCATTCTCTTCCTCAATGTTTACGTTTCAAAGAGATGGTTCCCAGGTACTTGAGAAAAGCATCCCTGGGTTGTAAAACTGGCAAGAAGCTTCTTTAGCTTTTAGAAAGATTTGCATAAATCCATCTGAAAAGGAGAGAGAAAGAATTTATGATGAGACATTTTCTTTTTTCTTTTTTTTTTTTTAAGATGGAGTTTCGCTCTTGTTACCCAGGCTAGAGTGCAATGGCGTGATCTCGGCTCACCGCAACCTCTGCCTCCCGGGTTCAAGCGATTCTCCTGCCTCAGCCTTCTAAGTAGCTGGGATTACAGGCACCTGCCACCACGCCTGGCTAATTTTGTATTTTTAGTAGAGGCAGGGTTTCTCCGTGTTGATCAGGCTGATCTTGACCTCAGGTGATCTGCCCACCTCTGCCTTCCACCTGGGATTTGACAAGAGCCATCACACCTGGTCTGAGGCATTTTCTAAAGTAAATCCTCTAAGCCTCAGGCCATTATTCTAAGAGAAGTAACTCAGGAGTGGAACGCCAAATGCCATGTGTTCTCACAAGTGGGAGCTAGGAGGATGCAAAGGAATACAGAGTGATATGATGGAATTTGGAGACTCAAGGAGGAAGGTGGGGAGTGAGGCATAAAACAATACATATTGGGTACGGTGAATACAGCTTGGTTGGCCTGCAGACTATAATCTCAGATTTCACCGCTATAGAATTCATTCATGTAACTGTGAAAGGACAATATCTTGGCCCCCAAAACCACTCAGAAAAACTCATGCTGGAAACTGCTTAGGGCAAACCTGCCTCCCATTCTACTCAATGTCACCCCTCCACTCATTGAGATAGATGCATATCTGATTTCCCCCTTTGGAAAGGCTAATCAGAAACTCAAAAGGAAGTACATCGTTTGTACATCACCTGTCTGTGACCTGAAAGCTCCCTCCCCACGAGTCTTCCTGCCTTTGCTTCAAGTTGTCCTGCCTTTCCAGAGCGAACCAATGTACTTCCTACATATATTGATGGATGTCTCGTGTCTCCCTAAAATGTAGAAAACTAAGCTGTGCCCCAACCAGCTTGGGCATGTCCGGACCTCCTGAAGCTGTGTGGTAGGCTCATCCTCAACCTTGGCAAAATACACTTTCTAAATTAACTGAGACTTGTCTCAGATCTTCTGGGTTTACATAACAGGAAACCAGTTGTATCAAAAGCGATTGAAGTAAAAAAATAAATAAAAAGTAAATCCTCTAAAGAACAAAGGTGGCAGGGGGTGATCTCTTTTGCTTCTCGCTCTGGAGAAAATTCGAGTTTTCTTTTTTTCCATTTGTCTTTCCCTTTACACCAGAGCCCGAAAAGGCTCCCACAGGCCCTTTTGTTTTGAGGTCTCATCCCTAGCTGGATGACTGGCTGAAAGCTTCACCTGACCCAACAGAAAGTTATACTCTTGGTTAAACTTGCTTGCGGCACAGCTTCCAGTGCAGGAAGGTTAGGGAAGGCCGGCACAGTTTTCTAAATCCTCCTTCTGCTCCTTGCTCTCCAGAGGCAAACCACAGACACCTGTCTCCACCCAGGCACGGTACTTGAATCCTGCAGTCCGGAGTCTTCATAGGAAGCTAGTTGCATGGGCACACACCTGCTGTGTGACAGGCTGTGATTGGAGCTGAGGACGTCAAGTCTTCGTGTTTGCGTGAGACACTGCTGACTGAACATCCCACTCCCGCTGCTGTGGGACTAGTTACATTTCCCAGTAGTGCTCAAAACTTAAATGTTCTCCAGCTAACATCAAACATCGAAATAGCAGTTACCTAACTTCACCTGCTGTTAATATTTTGTCACCTTTTCACTATCAGAAAGTATGTATGTTTGTATGTATCATTAACCAAAATCTAAGATAGGTCTCAGCTAATTTAGAAAGTTTATTTTGCCAAGGTTAAGGACATGCCTGAGGAGACACAGCCTCCAGAGGTCTGACAGCATGTGCCAAGGTGGTCAGGGCACAGGTTGGTTTTATACGTTTTAGGGTGACATGATACATCAGTCTATATGTAAGATATCAGTTTGGTCTGGAAAGGCGGGACAACTTGAAGCTGGGTGGGGGCGTCCAGGGCATAGGTAGATAAGAGACTGGTGGTGCATTCTTTTGAGTTTCTGATTAGCCTTTCCAAAGAAAGCAGTCAGATATGCCTCTATCTCAGTAAGCAGAGGGGTGACTTTGAATAGAATGGGAGGCAGGTTTCCCCTAAGCAGTTTCCATTTTGACTTCTCCCTTTAGCTTAGTGATTTGGGGGTCCCAAATTTGTTTTCATTTCAAAGTATGTTTGTTTATGTGTATATATGTGTCTATCTATATCATATGCTAAAAAAGTGCTGAACAATTTGAAAGTCATGTCACTTCACATGCTTCTTTTCAGAATGAAGTTCTGTATAACCACCACAATGGTTCCCCAGTTGCCTCGAATATATCATTTAAAGCTGCTTTTGAAAAATCCTGGATCCAATCATGCTTATACATTGAAACTGGTTTAATGACTGTAAATCTCTTGAAAGTATTCCTCCCGTCTAACTGAAGCTTTGCATCCGTGGACCGACACCTTTCCAGCCCATCCCCCTCAACCACCCAACCCCTGGTATCCATCATTCTATTTTTCATTAGTATGAGGTCAACTTTTTAGATTCCACATATAAATGAGACCATGAGAGTTTGTCTTTCTGTGCCAGACTTATTTCAGTTAATATAATGTCCTCCAGGTTCATCCATGTTGTCACGGGCGACGGGATTCCCTTATTTTAATATGTCAGTTACCTAGATTTAGTTATTCCACAATGTATATATACCTCAAAACATTATGTTTTACACAAGAAATACATGCAGTTTAATGTGTCCATCTAGAAAGTAAAAAAAATGTCTTGTTCAATCTAATGTTTACATTAATTTTGTGATGGCTTAAGTGAGACTTTTGTTACATCAGCTTTAAACATTTTTCAAGCTGTAAATCTTATGGTAGAACTTTGAGTATTTTTTCTACCTTTATTTCTGTGTTTGAGCAGAACCATAATTGTTTCCTGAGGAAAATCTTCTGTTAAAATTATTCAAGAGCCTGTGTGTGTGTGTGTGTGTGTGTGTGTGTGTGTGGCGGAGTTTCGCTCTTGTCATTCAGACTGGCATGCAGTGGTGCGATCTCTGCTCACTGCAACTTCTGTGTCTCAGCTTCAATCATTTCTCCTGTCTCAGTTTCCTGAGTAGCAGGGATTACAGGTACCCACCACCACGCCCGGCTAATTTTTTGTATTTTTAGTGAGATGGGATTTCTCCATGTTGGGCAGGCTGGTCTCAAGCTCCCAACCTCAGGTGATCTACCCGCCTCTGCCTCCCAAAGTGCTGGAATTACAGGTATGAGCCACTGTGCCTGGCTCAAGGGCCTTTACAATTTTATGTCATTTGATCCACTGATTATACTTTATAGGAACACTGTTAGGGGGAAAATTAGACATGCAAAGAGTTATAAATAATGTTTTTCAAATATTAGTTATAACATAAAAAATAAATGATACAATTTAAAGTCAAAAAATTGGGAACTTCTTTTTATTTTGAGGCAGTTTCACTATTGTTGCCCAGGCTGGAGTGCAATGACACCATCTTGGCTCACTGCAACCTCTGCCTCTCAGGTTTACGAGATTCTCCTGTCTCAGCCTCCCCAGTAGCTGGGATTACAAGCATTCACCACCACACCCAGACAATTTTTGTATTTTTAGTAGAGATGGGGTTTCACCATATTGGCCATGCTGGTCTTGAACTCCTGACCTCAGGTGATGCACCTGCCCCAGCCTCCCAAAGCACTGGGATTATAGGCATAAGCTACCGACCCTGGCCCAAAAATTGAGAATTGCTTATGAAGCGTTTCAATTAGAAGGAATATGACACAATGACTAAAGTCATATTTTGGCAGACTATGGCCCAGCTTGGGAAAATGCTCATGATGAAATGTTTAAGAGTTAAAGTCAGGATATACATCTATATACATATATATAAATGCAGATAATCCCTGCAAAACAATGGTAAAAGCTAAACATTTGATGTAGGAACAAAAAGTTTGAAGAAGCAAAAACAAAAATAGGCATTTTGCCTCCTCGGCCTGATGTTTGGGTAGATAACTAGAGCACTGTCATATGTTGTAGTATGTTCTTTTATAAGGGAAGAGAAGAATATGTAAGAACTAAGTTAGCAAAACAAGACCAATCATTACTAACCATTAGTAATATTGCAGTTTTGGAATTCCTCAGCAAAACCATGAACAATTTCTCATAGATTATTAAAGAACTAAATACAAAGTATCAGTCTTAAATCCAAATTATAATTGTCACCAGCAGAAAAAGTCACCACCAAATACTGGCAAATATTAAAACTGCACATAAAAAAATGTTTGTTAGAGATTTTCTAGAACTGAGGGAGGAGGAATTAAAAAAGAGAGCGAGGTTTTCTAGAACTGATGAAGAATTGTGATTTTTCTGTAAGTCTTGACTTTGTAGAAATTGGCGACAAAAGGTGAACTCTTAATTTCTAGATTTTGTCACAAAGGCTCCCTTTAAAAAAAAAAAAAAAAAAAGGTGTCCTGGTCAGTTATCTGTTGACGTAAGAGAATACTACAAACTACATAATTTATAAAGAAATGGAGTGTATTTTTGGCTCAAGATTCTGGAGGCCGAGAAGTCCAAGAGAATGGCACCAGCATATGGCAAGAATCATGCCATGATATAACGGCATCTGACTACGAGACAGAGAGAAAACGGGGGCCAAGCTTATCCCTTTGTTAGGAGCCCACTCCTGTGATATCAGCATCAGTCCATGTGAGTGGAGACTTCATGGGCTAATCACCTCTTAACACCTCACCTCTTATTCCTGTTACAATGGCAATTAAGTTTCCAAAACAGAAACTTCGGGGGTATATATTTAAACCACAGCATGTGGGAAAAAACCTTTATCATGGTCAGGTTTAATAAAAGTTTATCCCCCAAATAACTGAGAAGGGTTAGTTTTATTTTATTTGCAGACCCTCAAATACCAAGTTCAGTCTTGTAAGCCTTTTCTTTCCCTGGACACTGGGCAGGAGCTCAGAGGGGAGCATTCACAGGGTGCACTGAGGGAGAATGAGAGTGGGAGAGGTGTCAAGGTGCCCCAGGTGAGTAGGAACCTCATAGCACGGGAGAAAGCAGAGGAAATGCCCACCTTCAAAGAGCCAGTGACAGGAATAGACTGTAAACCAATGGGCTCCTCTGGAATGATCTGGGTCATTTGCACTCTCTGAGTAGAGGGGATGCTACCTGTGCTGGTGATGCTCTGTTCTTTTCCACCTGACCCCTCGGTTCACTCTCCGCTCTCTGCTATTCTTCTCTGTGCCTGGGATGCCTCCTCCTGTGGGCATTGTCCCTCCTGCTCTTATGCCGTTAGGTTTCCCCGAAGGGTTGGGCCAAGGGGAAGCACTGACTGATACGGGGTCAGAGAGTGGGAGGAGAGGAAAGTTGGGTTTGTATTTTTCTTTCTTTCTCCCTACTTTGGCATGGTTCTGGCAGAGAATGCAGCCTGTATGGGCAGATTCTTCTAGAACTCTAGCTTTCACCCAGGCTCTGGTAACACATTGCCTGGGATGATAAAGCTTCCCACAGTACCTCAGCATACCCTTTGTGTCCCTTGACCAGTCTGTGTAATCGTTCACTCCCTTTAAAAGTGTCTTCAAGGCCGGGCATGGTGGCTCACACCTGTAATCCAAGCACTTTGGAGGCCAAGGTGGGCGGATCACCTGAGGTTGGGAGTTCAAGACCAGCCTGACTAACATGGTGAAGCCCCATCTTTAAAAAAAAAAAAAGTGTCTTCAAAAATCCCACATGATTGTGAACCACTGGCATAAACCCTGAGTCTGAGTGACAGCACTGGGTTCCATCTGAAGAGACTTCTTTTTTTTTTTTTTTGGGAGATGGAGGTTTACTCTTGTTGCCCAGGTTGGAGTGAAATTGCATGATCTTGGCTCACCACAACCTCTGCTTCCCAGGTTCAAGCAATTCTTCTGCCTCAGCCTCCCGAGTAGCTGGGATTACAGGCATTCGCCACCACATCCGGCTAATTTTGTATTTTTAGTAGAGACGGAGTCTCTCCATTTTGGTCAGGCTGGCCTCAAACTCCTGACCTCAAGTGATCCACCTGCCTCAGCCTCCCAAAGTGTTGGGATTACAGGTGTAAGCCACCGTGCCTGGCCTGCAGAGACTTCTAAAGGGCATGATCACATAACTCACAGGTGGAACAGCTTACATTGATGGCACCACTTCTATGCTAGAAAGAAACTTGGCCGTAGGAAAAAATCTTCAAAGCATGATTATACTTTGTACACTTGGCTATTGTCTACCTGCCTTTCCCTGCTTTAAAACTAAAGGCTATTCTGGGAATCTGTGGGAGCTGTTACATCACAGGACTTGCTCTAAACCACTGCTCCTTCATGCTTTCTCTGTAGAAACTGGTATCAAGCAAGCAATCTTTCTTTCTCATAGAGAAGCAATGGAGTTTCTCCATGCAGTGGTGCTGCCTCTCCACTAAGCAAAAATGGAAATTATGTCTTCAAAAATAGGGCCTGTAGTCCTTCTCTACAGCATGCAGCACATTCATTTAGACACCTAAAATAAACTCAGTGTGTCTATGCAGAGCTAAGATGACCAGAGTGAAAAACAGAGAGAAGCTGTTTTTATTGGAAAACACTCTGATTTGTATGACGCATATTGAAGAGAAATTTCATTAACTGCTTCTCTAGGAAAAAGAAACGTTATTTCAGAAAAGGAAGGAATGGGTAACCAGCTCAATTGCAGTGGCATGACGTTTGGACCTCTGAATGTCTCTTTATGTAGAAATCCCAATTTAGCTAAAATTCCCACAAACAAAATTTGACCATTACCATCAATGACAACAAATATTGGATGTATTAATTTAACCCTGGATTCCCTAAGGACAGGGATTTGATAAAAGGGTAGCTCACTGAATTATGAGCCAACAGTCAAATTTAAATGGAGTTCGAAATAACAAAACTTGAGATTCTTTCGTGTATTTAATTATACTTTTATTGAATAAAGGGAAAGGCTAGAGATTTTGGTGACATTTAAGACAATAAAAAAGATATTTTCATCACTGCTGTATTTTGAATGTGTCCTCCAAAGTCCAAGTGTTGGACACCATCCCCAATGAAACAGTGTTGAGAGGTGGGACCATTTATAGGCGATCAGACCCTGAGGGACCTGCCTTCATGAAAGGATGAATGTTGTTATTGAGGGAGTGGATTCACTGTCTCTAGAGTGGGTTTGTGATGGATGTGAGTTGAGTTTGCCATCACTCTCTTGCCCTTCTGCTTTCCACCATGGGATGACACAGCAGGAAGGCCCTTGTCAAATACCAGCAGCATGTTCTTGGACTTCCCGATCTCCAGCACTGTAAGCCAAATACCTATCTGTTCATGATGGATTACTCAATCTGTGTGCTCTGTTATAGCCACCCAAATGAAGTAAGACAATCACTTTTACATGTCAAAGGTCAGAAACTACTAAAATTCAAGTAACGATGTGTAACTTTAGTTTGTTTTTGAGTAATATATAATAAAAGCCAAAGCAGCAATCACTTAAGCTAAAAAAAAAAAAAATCTCGGCTGAGTGGGCAACGTGTGTCTATCAGGACCCCAGCTCATACAGAGCTCAATTGGTGCTTCCATTCTGACTGTGTGAGGCACTGAAGCAGACAAATATGATGTACAGAAGGAAAACAAATGTAATATTCACAATAATCCATTCTAAATAAAATAATTTCCGTGAAATAAAAATGAAAACAAATAGATGGAAACACTTTATGTGTTAAATAAATTACATTTGATCTTAGCCAAAAGGCCGAGAAGCAATGTGTTAAATAAACATGCTGAAGTAAAATGTATGAGTAGTTACATAATTTTCAATAAGGTATTTGTGTTCATAATCGCAGAGTCAAAAATCCATCAGGCTGGAAAATAGTGGCATCAAAATGTCACAAAAACAGAGGTGAACATAAATCCTTACTTTTCTGAACTCCATTCCGTCCCACCATTTCTAGCATGAGAAAGAGCAGCACATACAGAGATACGAGGCTCACCCAGTGTATTAGCCTATTTTGTGTGGCCATGAAAGGAACATCTGAGTTGGTAATTTATAAAGAAAACAGGTTTGTTTGGCCCATGGTTCTACAGGTTGTATAGGAGGCATGGCAGTCCAGGCACAGTGGCTCGTGCCTGTAATCTCAGCACTTTAGGAGGCTGAGGCAGACGGATAACTTGAGATCAGGAGTTTGAGACCAGCTTGGCCGACACAGGTGAAACCCAGTCTGGTAAAAATATAAAAAATAGCAGGGCATGATGATGGGTGCCTGTAAATCCAGCTACTTGGGAGGCTGAGACATGAGAATTACTTGAACCTGGGAGGGGGAGGTTGCAGTGAGCCAAGATTATGCTACTGCCCTCTAGACTGGGTGACAGAGTGAGACTCTGTATCATAAACAAAAACAAAAAACAACCACAAAAAAGAAGAAGCATGGCACCAACATCTGCTTCTGGAGGAGGCCTCAGGAAGCTTCTAATCCATGAGAGAAGGCAGATGGGGAGTAGGCATGGCACGTGGAAAGGAGGGAGCAAGAGAGAGAGGAAGGCATGCCATGATCCTTTAAACAGCCAGCTCTCGTGTGAACTAATGGAGCACAAATTCGCTTGCTGTCATGGGGAGGGAGGGTACCAAGCCATTCATGAGAGGTCCGCCCCCATGACCCAAACACCTCCCACCAGGAACCACCTCCAATGTTGGGGATCATATTTCAGCATGAGATTTGAAAGGGACAAATATCCAAACAGTATCACCCAATGGTAAAGATTTTAGAATGGGGCACTGTTAGTACACAAATAGGTACAGAGTATGGAGGAAAAGATGAGCTATGTTGTACCGAGTTGAACTTTCATGTGGGCAAAGAGAGTAGCAAGGAGGTTGGTTAAGTACGTGTTAAGAAAATGTGTTAAAATGTATTTAAATTTTTATAAAATGTGTTAAGAGTGTTAACAGTAAGTGGAAAACTTGGGTAGAAAATACTGGAAATAAAGTCGAATCTGTTTTATGGTGGCAAAGACAGAAGGTTGCCCCGTCACATTAAAGATCAAGTGCCAAATTTGAGTGATCTGAGGATCTGTATACCAACCAGTCCATGGCCGTGTCTGAGGAAGGCTGTTCTCTGAGAGCCACAGGACCAGCTGCTGAGGTCAGGGTGCATATTGGCCTCAGGACGGTCCTTCCAAAGCCTGGCTAGCAGTCATTGGCCTGGCAGTCAATGTTGAGCCGTGCCGATCTGATTATATCCCAGTGATGTTGAAATTCAGACTGAGAAACTCAGTTTCTTGGGGAAATAGGATTAAGATTCATTTATTCTTGGGGGCTGAAATGGCCATTTTTAGACATTTAAAAGAGGAAGAAGCAGAGATAACTGGGGTGGAAGGCGCAGAAAGCAGCAAGCAGAGGTGAGGAAATCCCTCAGGCAGGGGAGACAGCATTGCCCTGGACTGCCCCCCTGTTTTTCTTTCTACTCCTTGAGTGTTCCATATGTATTTTCCTTTGTTACCACCCACATCTGTGGATAGTCTGTTTATTAACCCCGCCCACTTCCTCTACATGCTAAGCGTGAATGGTCTCTGCCACTCTCAGTAGGGTTTTCAAATAAACCTATTGACATGGATTAGATTCAAATCTGCTTGTGCATTATCTATGACATGCAGAGATCTAGGCATCATGGCAGGAACTTCTGCAGGATTGCTCATTAGCTTAGCAATATTCTCCCACACACCAGATTGAGATTTGTGCCTTGCAGAGGTGCAAATTGGAGTTACCAAGGAAGAGCTGAAATTGCAAATGTTTACCCCATGAATGCCAAGATTTCAGCACGCATGTGTGCCTGTGTATATTTATGTGTATAGTTATTATACACAGTGTTATAATACAGTAGGTATCGCCGACGGTAGGATTGTTGTCAATTTGAAATTTTTATTTCTTAAGTTTTCGATAGCATGTATTATTATTATATTTTAAAAAGCAACTGCTACATTATTCAAGAAAAAAGTAGTTGAGCCTTAATTGGAAGATCTATACAATTAATGTGGAGAGAGCCTGGGTTGATTAAGAAAATGTGCATCTGTAATTTATATAAACTGTGCCAAGAATTTTGCCCTGAGGTCTGCATACAATGTCACATAATGGCTCTGCTTGTCAACACCTGTGTGTATGCTCTCCTGGGGAGAAATTGTGGGAGAGTAGAAGTGGAAGAGAAGGCAACAGCAGGAGCTGGCTTCTTGGAGGGGTCCTTCCCTCTAACTGTGGCGGAGCCACATGTCGAGGGCGTCTGTCCCTGGAGGACAGGCACTTGCTGGCTCTCTTCCCTCTAGTAGCACCTTTTTTAAGACTTATGTTGGAACGCTATATATTAGAGTTAGCATAAAATAATGAAAATGGCCATCACGGTGAATGCCCCCTGATCTTGGGGACCAGCAATTTTCCTGTATGAGCTCCACATTTAAAATAACACGACCTCCCCCTACTCCAGGTTGTTTATCCTAGAAAAACTCCCTCTTCTCCCAACTTGTGCTGTGCTTTGTAAATCAGGTCCAGAGGAAGATAATATTTGGAAATATTTTATTCTCAGGTCTGACTTTCTTGGCTCATACTTGGTGGCAGACCCAGAACAGATGTCCTGTGGGCCCTGGGCCAATGGCTGCATGGCTGGCCGTCTGTGAGCCCTTACATCTTGGCTGAAGTGACAGCCACCTGACGTTTATTTTAGCAGGACAGTTTGGGATGAAGGAAAACTCACTAACTACTGTTTAACATTACATTTTCAAAGAACATAGAGTTTCTTTTTTTTTTTTTTTTTTGAGACGGAGTTTCGCTCTTGTTACCCAGGCTGGAGTGCAATGGCGCAGTCTTGGCTCACTGCAACCTCCACCTCCTGGGTTCAGGCAATTCTCCTGCCTCAGCCTCCTGAGTAGCTGGGATTACAGGCACGCGCCACCATGCCCAGCTAATTTTTTGTATTTTTAATAGAGATGGGGTTTCACCATGTTAACCAAGATGGTCTCGATCTCTTGACCTCATGATCCACCAGCCTCGGCCTCCCAAAGTGCTGGGATTACAGACGTGAGCCACTGCGCCCAGCCAGAACATAGAGTTTCATACTCGAGTATCGTTTCTTGGCCAGTCTAAGAAAAGACAATAATGGAAAGAGGAATGAATTGCTTTTCTTAGTAACAAGACCAATACTTACTGGAAGCCCAGGCCACCCTCCTCCTTTCACTTTAAAGGAAAAAAAGGGGTAAACCAAGAGGTGAGGGATCTGGGTTTGTGAGTACAGGACCCACAAACTATTCTTGGTGGTTAAAGAATGCCTTAGCATCCTTAGATGCTTACTGATTATGGGTGTCTGGAATTTGCTGCCAATACTGTGGGGAGCCAGAGTCTGCATCCTGCTGTGGGTGCTGAATTCCTGCCACTGTCCCCAGCAGTGCCCTGCACACACCTCCTACTCTGGCAAGACCACTGGCCTTCGCAAACACCAGGCCAGGATGTCCTGGCTGCGTTTCCCTGCAGCATCACCTGACGGAGCTCTGTTCAGCAACTGCACGCAGGCTGAGTCAGCCTGACCCAATTCTCTCAGAAGTAGCTCAATACTTTGGAATTCTGGAGACTACAGTATCACAGTCACTCATATGGCAGAATCGGATGTGTCCCAGGGGCAAGAGAGAGCCAAGTGTGGTTTCCTCAGCTTGCCAAGTGCTGGACAATGTGTTTACTCCATTACTGTGCTCCTGCTTTCTGCCAGTCATGGCAGGAAATAGTCTGTTGTGCTGGAGGTTTTGATCCACACTGGCCGACAGGAAGTGTTGCAGTGATGTTGCCAAAGGCGCCACAGGGTGCAGATGCTGGGGCTGCTCAAAATGCAGATTTTGTGGCATCTTAACAAGTTGATGTAAAATCAGAAATTTGGATGACTAGAAGTCCTTGAACATTCGAGAGTGAATCTTATCCATCATCCAGCGGGTGGAGGGACCATCAGTGGCTAGATGTAAATGGAAAGAGAGTGGGAATGTGCCTCATCGCAGCAGGATCTGACACAAAGGAGGTGGAGGGTTGCACCTGTGTTCTCATGATAAAGGGGGCTCCTAGCACCGAGTCATGAAGCCTCTCACTCCCAGCAGAAAAGCTCTTAAAGCTCTTGGCCCTAACGACAGTGCCAGGAGTCACAGCATGGCCATTGTCCTGAAACCCCAGTCACCTCTCCCTGCTGCCCATTTGGCCACAAGTGAGTGCGTCTCCTTGAGCATGGCTCTGCCCTGGCAGCCTTCTCAAGGGCTCTTTGGGCCAGCGGCCCTCCTCCCTTTCTTTCTCTCTTCCTTTCATACGCCATAACAGGATTTTTAAATGCTGCTGAATACCTTCAAGTTGCCATTTAATGTTTTTAAATTTAGGCTTCAATAGCTACTACAAAGGAGGGAATATCTGACAGATATCGACATTATGCTCCATGGGCTCTAATCCATGAATCAAATAAATGTATTGTTAATCTTCCAATGTGGTATCATTTTATTACTTCGTGACATAATTTCATTTGTTATTTATTTTAGATTTATTTGTGTTTTTGTCAAATAATGTGTCAAATAATATGAGATCAATCCTTTGAATGTTGTGGGAATTTCCTTTCTGGCTTTATATTTTCTTTACATTGAAAGAAACAGACTTAGTTTACATTAATTCAATTTTCTCAAATGTTGCAAATGTGCTGATAAAGAATGTGTTTTTAGACAAATCCATAGAAACAAAGTATTAATAGATCGGTGGTTGCCAGGGGCAGGGTGTGGGTATGGTAAGAAGGGAATAGAGAATGACTGCTAATGGGTATGGGTTTCTTTTGGGAGTTACAGAATGTTCTGGAATTGGATAGTGCACAATTTTCTAAATACATAAAAAACATTTTTAAAAGCATGCATTTTATGGTATGTGAATTATTTTTTAACTAAAAATGTATTTTCTTCAATTGTTGATACAAGATTGTTAATTATGTTTTTTTCCTCTGTCCCCAGAAAGAGAAAATGTTCATTAAGTTTTAAGTATTCTATATCTTTCTAATTTTATGCTTCCTTCAGCTGTTAAATATGTTTAAATTGATGGTCTCAACAACACTGAAAAAGAAACTGGTTGGGTGCGGTGGCTCACGCCTATAATCCCAGCACTTTGGGAGGCTGAGGCAGGTGGATCACCTGAGGTCAGGAGTTTGATGCCAGACTGGCCAACATGGTGAAACACTGTCTCTGCTAAAAATAAAAAATAAAAAAATGAGCCGAGCATGGTGGCACGTGCCTGTAATCCCAGCTACTAGGGAGGCTGAGGGAGGAGAATTGCTTGAACCCAGGAGGTGGAAGTTGCAGTGAGCTGAGATCGAGCCACTGCACTCCAGCCTGGGTGACAGAGCAAGAATGTGTCTCAAAAAATAAATAAATAAATAAATAAAATAATAACGAAACTTAATAACCATTGGGGAATGCTAGCAAATCAACTCATTATCTTGAAAAGTGGCACATTGAAAAGTGGTACATAAATGAAAGAATGAAACCTGTAACCTAACTTTTTTCTGGTACTACATCAATGGGTAACCCAGAGGCTGGGTATGGTGGCTCACACCTGTAATCACAACACTTTGGGAGGCCATCGTGAGTGGATCACCTGAGGTTGGCAGTTCGAGACCAACCTGGACAACATGGTGAAACCCCGCCTCTACTAAAAACACAAAAATTAGCTGCGTGTGGTGGCACATGCCTGTAATCCTAGCTACCTGGGAGGCTGAGGTGGGAGAATTGCTTGAACCTGGGCGGTGGAGGTTGCAGTGTGCCGAGATCAAGCTACTGCACTCCAGCCTGGGTGATAGAGGGAGACTCTGTCTCAAAAAAAAAAAAAAGAAAAAAAGGAAAGACTGAATTAGAATGTTACCTTTTCATGACCAGTAATAAGATAGTTAAGCTTCGGATATTAATGGCAGATGACTTCATATGCGTATACGTACCATATATATTTACTTATTTAGAGACAGAGAGAGAGAGTGACAGAGAGAGAGAGAGTGACAGAGAGCCCTACATTATATCTTCCTCCTGGAAGAACACAGTGCCACCTATGAAGAAGTTTGCAAAAATGTGGATCAAGCGTCCAGTGACCAAATTTCAGGAAAGAACAGAAGACAGAGATATATATTAAATGACATCTCAGTGATTCAGTCAGACAAATTCATACTAACATGAACATGGCAGCATGAAAGACTTGATTTCTTCAAAAGCAAATGTCAAAGAAGAACATAGTACGAAGGGGAAGCTTATAGATTTAATAGACTTATTAACCACTCTGAACATGTGAATCATATTTGGATCCTAATTCAAACAAATTTAAAGATATTTATGACATTTATGATATAATTGGATACCTAAATACTGATTGGATATTTGATGCTACTGAGGAAATCAATTCTTTCTTAGGTATGAAATTGATAAGATGCCTATGTTATCAATAAAGTGCCCTTATCTGATTTGTTAATGCTTTAAAAAACTTATTTGCATATTTATTATAAGTTCATGGGTATATGTGTAGGATGTGCAAGTTTGTACATAGATAAACATGAGCTATGTGGTTTGCTGCACAGATCATCCCATCACCTAGGAATTAAGACCAGCATACATTAACTAGTCTTCCTGATGCTCTCCCTCCTTCCACCCCCAACTCTCCAACAGGTCTCAGTATGTGTTGTTCCCCTCTGTGAGTTCATGTGTTCTCATCATTCAACTCCCACTTAAAAGTGAGAACATGGAGTATTTGATTTTCTGTTCCTGTGTTAGTTTGCTGAGGATAATGGTCTCCAGCTCCAATCATGTCCCTGAAAAGGACATGACCTCATTCCTTTTTATGGCTGCATAGTATTCTGTGATACATATGTACCACATTTTTTTAATCCAGTGTACCATTCATGAGCATTTGGGTTGGTTCCATCTCTTTGCTATTGTGAATAGTGCTGCAATGAACATACATTTGTATGTGTCTTTTTAATAGAATGATTTATATTCCTTTGGGTATAAACCCAGTAATGGGATTGCTGTGTCAAATGGTATTTCTGCCTCTAGGTCTTTGAGGAATCACCACACTCCATCAACAGTGTAAAAGCATCCCTACAACCTTATCAGCATCTGTTTTTTTTGTTTTGTTTTGACTTTTTATTAATAGCCATTCTGGCTGCCGTGAGATGGTATCTCATAGTGGTTTTGATTTACATTTCTCGAATGATCAGTGATGTTGAGCTTTTTTTAATATGTTTGTTGGCCTCATGAATGTCTTCTTTTGAGAAGCCTCTGTTCATGTCCTTTGCTCACTTTTTAATGAAGCTGTTTGTTTTTTTCTTATAAATTTGTTTAAGTTCTTTGTAGACTCTAGATATTAGACCTTTTTCAGATGGATAGATTGCAAAAATTTTCTGTCATTCTGTAGGTTGTTTATTCACGCTGATGATAGTTTCTTTTGCTGTCAGAAGCTCTCTAGTTTAATTAGATCATTTGTCAATTTTTGCTTTTGTTACAATTGCTTTTGGGATTTTCATCATGAAATCTTTGCTTGCACCTATGTCCCAAATGGTATTGCCTAGATTTTCTTCTAGGGTTTTATAATTTTGGGTTTTACATTTAAGTCTTTAATCCATCTTGAGTTAATTTTTGTATATGGTGTAAGGAAGGGGTCCAGTTTCAACTTTCTGCATACAGCTAGCCAGTTCTCCCAGCACCACTTACTGAATAGAGAATAATTTCCCTAGTGCTTGTTTTTTGGCTTTTGTCAGATTTGTTGAAGACCAGCTGGTTGTAGATGTGTGGTCTTATTTCTGGGTTTTCTATTCTGTTTTATTGGTCTATGTGTCTGTTCTTGTATCGGAACCATGCTGTTTTGGTTAATGTAGCCTTGTAGTGTAGTTTGAAGCCAGGTAGTGTGATGCCTCCAGCTTTGTTCTTTTTGCTTAGGATTGTCTTTGTTATTCAGCCTCTATTTTAGGTTCACATGGATTTTAAAATAGTTTTTTCTAATTCAGTGAAGAATGTCTATGATCATTTAATGGCAGTAGCTTTGAATCTATAAATTGATTTGGACCATATGGCCATTTTCATGATATTGATTCTTCCTATCTATGAGCATGGAATGTTTTTCCATTTGTTTGTGTCCTCTCTAACTTCTCTGAGCATTGGTTTATGACTCTCCTTGAAGACTTCTGTTAGCGGTATTCCTAGATATTTTATTCTTTTTGTGAAAAGTGCCCTTATTTTTCAGAGTTCATACTAAACCATTTCTGGATAAAGTGACATATGGTTGGGATTTACTTTAAGGTCATATGGAAGAGGGTAGAGTGAGTGATGAAATAAGCTTGGCTATGGGTTGCTAATTGCAATTGAGTGATAGATGCATGAGCGTTCACTATACTTAAGCATTTTAATAATCCTTATTTGAAATGGGAAATGGAAAGGTTAGGGATTTTTTTTTTTTTTGAGACAGAATCTTGCTCTATCACTCCGGCTGGTGTGCAGTGGTGGGATCTTAGCTCACTGCAACCTCTGCCCCCAGGGTTCAAGTGATTCTCCTGCCTCAGCCTCCTGAGTAGCTAGGATTACAGGTGTGGGCCACAATGCCTGGCTAGTTTTTGTATTTTTAGTAGAGAGGGAGTTTGACCATGTTGGCCAGGCTGGTCTTAAACTTCTGACCTCAAGTGATCCACCTGCCTCAGCCTCCAAAAGTGCTGGGATTACAGGTATGAACCACAGCACCTGGCCACTGTTAGGGATTTTTGTAGCCTCATATTGAGTATCCTTGGTACCTCTGTTTCTGTATTATAAAAAGAGGGATAATACTTAACCCACTTAGCATGCATTGCTGCTGTAAGTCATGAGCTTTATTTATGGGGTAATGGCCTATAAGAGCACTGAGCCATCTTTAGTAGAGCAGCAAGTAATTTCCATGCCTATTCAGACTTTTCTAGCGAGTGACTTAAGAGGACATCCTATAAAAAGTGGCTGGCTAGGGTCTAGATGCTAGCATCTGGAACGGGATCTTCAGGGGCAGCTCTGATGACCCTGCCCATGTCTGCTTTTCATGTCCCTGCCTCTCTGACCCCCAGCAAGACCAAATGGAGTTGAGAAAAGATTCCCTATGAGTTGCAGTGGCACTTCTTGCCTGGGGTTCAGCCAGTTTCTGAGGCCTGAAAGGCTGAGGCAAGGATCATCTGGCGGTTGGCTCAGCCCAGCACCTGAGCACATTGAGAAGGCACCACGCTCCCTCAACTGCTTTCTGGCTTCTCCAGCACCTTTGTGATCGCTGACACTACAGTGGTGATGATGCCACTTTAAAAAGAATGCCCTGACAGGGTGCAGTGGCTCACGCCTGTAATCCCAGCACTTTGGGAGGCTCATGAGGTCAGGAGATCGAGACCATCCTGTGTGTGTGATATAGCTAACTTAAGTTGGAACCTGTATACTGCCATCTTATAAAGGACAAAAATGTTTCCATTCTCCTCAAGGACTGCTAACCTTGGTTTCTGTAAATTGCTAGATCATTTGCAGGATGCAAAGAGAGGTAAAGCTGCATACCTTCTCTTATCTTCCAGAATTGCTGACCTTTGCTTCCCAGAGTAAGCACACCCAGATCATTCCATCCTGGCGCCAAGCAACTGAAAATCTATGGATCCCACCCCTACCCAGATGATGTGTAAATGAATGCTAATCTTAGCATCTGTGAACCCTTAAATAACAATCAGAGTGTCAAATAGTCCCCTGGCCCTCGAAATGTCCAGAACCCTGTCACCCTCCTCTTCGCCCAGAAGGTGATTTGAATCCACTGGCCCTCGGAATTTCTAAAGCCCCTCCCTCACCCTCGTCTTTGCCTGGGAAGTGATTGAC